ACCCCTTTTGGGGGGTTTACCTTTCTTCCCTGCAGGCCGGGCCCCGGCAAGCGGCGGGGCGGCCGCGGACCGTCGGCCTGGCCAGCGGCAGCGCTGATCGGCGGGGCGGCCGCGGACCGTCGACCCGACCCCAAGAGGGACGGACAGGGGACCGACGACGACGACGACGACGACGACGACGACGACGACGTCGACGACGACGACGGCGACGACGAGCGAAAGCGAGAGCGAGAGAGAACGACAGCAGGGCCACGAAGGGCACGAAGTAGGCCACGAAGGGCGACAGCGGGGACACGAAGGGAATACGTATGGGGCCACGAAGAGTGCGAACGAGCGGGGGCCACGAAGTGCAGATAACGCGGTGCCACAGAAGGCAACTATGGGGCCACTGAGGGTAGCAACTGGGCCACGTAGGACAATGAGGGGGACACAAATGGCGACGGCGGGGCCGCGAAGGGCACGCACAAGGGGCCACAACGGGCGCGACTCTTGGGTGCCTGGGTGTCGGGAGCGCGGCGCTTGGGCAAATTGCAAGAAATTCCAACACAAGGCTTTTCTTCGGTAAGTTGCAAGCAAGTCTCCAGCGAGAGCGCGACCCCAGAGCTCCGGGAGAGCGATTCCTGAATAAATTATAAGAAGTCCCAAGCGAGAGCGCGATTCCTGAATACAAAATGCGAGGAAGTCTCGGGCGGGAGCGGGGGTCCTGGCTAAATTGTAAGGAAGTCTCAGGCGGGAGCCGTTGTTGTTGTAACGCGGGGGCCAGGGGGCCAGTTTGAGCAGGAAGACTTCCCCTGTCAAAAAACAGGGTGCGAGCGTCGAGGGGCACACTTTGATTGAGAAAAAACTGTATGCACCGGTGAGGGGTGATCAACAATAATGATTCTTCAGAAATGAGAATTCAACAAGAACAACAGCAGCAGCAGCAACAACAACGATCCGTACATCTGCGGAGCATTCCACCCATGTGCCACATATTCGACGGACAAATCAGCTCTGGTGCAGAACAAGTCTACAGTCGATCCCCTGCTTGATTACTGGAGGAAGATCACCGCCACCACCACATAACTGCACCGACCTTGCAGACGTGCTGCAGCGGATCTGCGCGTGCATTCCTATCAACGCAAAACCCCGAAATCGCGAGCGAAAAACGAAGTGAGTTTCACGTGTTTTGTTTTTGTCTTCCTTGCTGGCCAAAAAAATCGCACGAAGATCACTTCGAAATCCAGAACGACATCCTCCAGGACACTCCGGGCCCCTCCTGTCGTTTTCCGACGGGACCCCGCTCTGCGACGTGGGCGCCATGACACCACCACCACCCAGAAGGTGGAGGCAAAGAGAGATCCCAGGTAGAACCTTCCGGGCGTCCCCGCGAGGCATCCTGCACGCCTGCTCCCCACAGATCGCCGCGTGGCCTGCCCGCACCCCTCCTGGCGGCGGCGCGTCTCGCGGCCACCCGGCAGTCTTTTTCGTTCGGAGCGCCGACCCCAGACATCCGACGCCCTGATTGCTGCCAGCAGGGCCAGATCGGGCGTGGCCTCCTGCAGGCGGACTCTGCAAGAGAACTGGAGAAAGCATTCACAGAAGACTCCAGAGCTGTACAACCACAGTCAAAACACTGTGTCCCCAGACTGCTCTTTGAGACCGTTCTCGAACAGTCCCCCTGTCGAGGGACAGGCCTGGCTTCACGGCAGGGGGCCCCCAGGAGCCCCAAGACGCTTCCCCCGGGGCCGGCCGGCCCTCCCGAGCCGCCTCTTCACAGCCCTGGGGGGCGCCCGGGGAGGGCCCCCGGAGACCGCACCGCGGCCAGGAAGCTCCCGCCGCGAGTTGGATCGGGGCGGCGCGAGCATGTCCCATGTCCCCCGACAGGAGAAAGATTCGAGAAATAATTAGAGAAAACAGTCTGGGGACCATGTTTGGACTGTTTTTGAGCAAGTTTTGAGAATATCTGGTGTGTGTGTGACTGGTTCATTATTATTCCAAGCTCCGCCTGTAGAAGGACATGCCCGATCTCACGCCAGCATGCATGTCTGGGAAGGTCTGCGACCGCTGCTCTCGGCGAGGTTCTCCCAGCGCCATCTTGCGCCATCGCCGCCGAACGCCGGGCCCTCCCGAGAGCCGGGCCGCTGGCCGCTGCTGCGTGCAGAGTTTGGCTCCTCGGCCCAGGGCGGCCTCGGACCACGGATGGCAGGAGGACTCTCTTCCCCTGTCGGCGGCGCGCGCGTGGGGGGGGGGGAAGCGAGAGGGAGAAGAGGCCTTCTCAGTCAGAGGGCGCTGGGCCGTCTCAGAAGCCCCCTGGGCCTCTGAGGAGTCGCCTGCCTTCGGGGAGCCCAAAGATCCGACGTCGTGATTTTTTCAATACGCCTCCGTCTTGCGTTGGTCCATCCGTTGGACCTCTGGGGGAGGGCGCGCCAGGCGCCCTCAGAAGCCCCCGTGGGCCTCCGAGGAGCGGCCCACGGGAGGGCTCGGCAGGCTCCCCGGGAGGCCCCCGAGCAGCCCTCCGAGCGCCTGAGGCCCGCCCCGTTCTCCCCGGCCCCCCCCGTGGGCTCGCCGCGCCGGCCCTGGCGGCGGGGCCCAGGCCTCGGAGGGCCCGCCTCCGGCGCGGGGGCCGTCGAAGCAAGACGGTGTCGTTCGCAAAGATCGGCCCCTGGCGGCCCTCGCCGGGCCTCGGGGCCGTCAAGAAACGACGCAGGATGAAAAACCGGTCCTGGGCAGTGGGTCGAGACTTCTGGGGGCCCCGTATTGAAAAAAACACGGCGTCGGACCTCCCGGCTTTTCGTGCAACCAAACATAGGACATTCGGACATTCGGACATTCGGCCTGCAGTCGAGATGCCGCGGGGGCATAGCAGGGGGTGCCTGGGCGCCGCTATGGGTGAAAATGGATGGTGTGACGCAAGTGTGAGAACTAAGAGAACTAGATATAGGACTAAGAGAACTATCATGTGAGAAGTCTGGCCCGCTTCCCTAACAGTTCGGTAAACGAGCCTGGGCCAGGTTCTGTGGTTCACGCTGGGAGGGCGAGCGTGCTCAAGAAACCAGGCCAGCTTTCTCCGGCTCGTTGGTTAAGAGACACTGGCCCAGCTTTTCGGGAGGAGGTTTCTTAATCAGATGCTCGACTGTATTTTTGAAAAGCAGGGGTTGGGAGCGGACTACTGCAGATAACGGGGGCAGCAAGACAGGTGTGAAACCACAGAGCGAGCCTCCTCGACCAAACAATCCACCGGATCAACATGTTGACCTATGGACGTGGCCGAGCCTCATCAGGCGCAATCAGGGGTGGAGAACTAGCCGGGAAGAGCCCAGCGGAGCGGTCCGGGAGGGGCCCGGGGGGACTGTTTTGAGTGGACTTCGGGCCAGGTGATGACGACGGCGACGGCGACGCCGAGGATCGGAGGTTCGAGGAACGAGGCTGCTGAACGCTCTGTCGCAGGGCTCGAGCGTAACAGTAATTTTCGTTGTTTCGTATTGCTTTCGTTTTCCTTCGTTCTGTCCTTGGTTCTGCCTCTGCTGCGAGACGACAGCCCACGAAATCGGCAAAACGCCGTTTAGCTCGAGCCCTGTTCTCTGTCGCCCCTTTGGGGGGGGGGACCTCCGTTGTCTTCTCTCGTCCCCGACGGGCAGGGGCTCCCCTGCGAGCCACGTTGCCCAAAAAAACGCACCCTCCTCCTCCTCCTCCTCCTCCTCCTCCTCCTCCTCCTCCTCCTCCTCCTCATCCTCCTCATCCTCAGCGGGACGCTTTTTTGAGGGGAGGGGGGGAGAAGGCCATGGTCCTGCTGCCGCTGCCTTCGAATGCGCAGCCCTTTCGCTCCGCGTCAAGGCAGGCCCGCGGTGGGGGGGGACCGAAGTCATTATTGGATAGGGAACGGAAACCTTCTGGCGTGCCCTGCAAGCCGTCTCTGCCGACCTCCCGCGCCTCAGAGGTCGAGGTGGCTCTGCAATTGTTGCCTGGGCCTGTCCAAGCCCCGGCCGTCTGACGCTCCGGATCCGCGAGGCCCTATAGCGTGCCTAAGAAAAGAGAAGGCCATGGGTGACGCGACAGCAGCGCGCAGAAAACATTGCGGCGGCGACGGTTACAAGGGTCGCAACATCTCGAGCAGGGGATCGACTACAGAACTAATGTCCCAAAAATTGATGCTTCCTCGAACCTACTAGAAATAAGTGGAGTGCTCCGTAGATCTACTGAGCTTTCTGCCTACGGTGGGGGCATTGGATAAGGAACCCGTAGATAAGGAATTCAGGGTCTGGAGGCTGGTGAAACTCCAACTGAGGCTTGGCCATGGACATCACCGCGGCCCTCATCAAGTAGGGAATCCTCCAGGGTCTGCAGCCTCCTGGGCACATTCCTTAATCAACGCCCCCACCGTATCGTTTTGCATATTCGACGAACAAGTCAATGTTGGGGTAAATCAATTGTGTCGTCGATCCCCTACTCGAAAATCTGATGAGGGGCTGTGGCACGGTTGAGCGGGCTCAGGCCATCCCGTCAGCAAGACAGAGCCACTTTCGAGCCAAGCCTATTGAGGCGCCCAGTCAGTCCTCTGGAGGGACTTTCTTGGTGAGGCACGCCAGACAGGCTTCGGCACCTCCCTCCCTCCTCCACTTCTCCCTCCCTCTCGCTCTCCCTCCCTCCCTCCCTCCTCCACCACACCCCGCTTCCCCCTGCCCTCTCTTTCTGCTCCTCCTCCTCCTCCTCCTCCTCCTCATCCTCCTCTTCCTCCTCCTCCTCCTCCTCCTCCTCCTCCTCCTCCTACCCTCCTCATTCTCCTTCTCCTGCTCCTCGAAATTGAGAACGAGGGCGAGGGAGAAGAGCCGGGGACAGGAAAGGTGGAAGGGAGGGAGGAGGGAGAAAGAAACTGCGGGGGCAGCTGTGAAATCCAAGAGACAGGGCGGCGGGGGAGAAAAGAGAAAGCAGCACTGGCAACAAAAACGATGAGAGGGAGAGGGCGACGAGAAACATAGAGAAGGGGAGAAGAGAACCAAATAGTACATACACGGAGCCACCTGTGCCAGTGTACCTGGAGACCACGGTGCTCACGTAGCCAAAAACCACACCTGTCGCCCATCCCACCCCTGTTTAGCGCGATCTGGGATGCTGCCTTCCATGTCAGAGCGCGTGGTGGCGAGGCAAGGACGAAGAAGCCCGCAGAAGCCAGCCAAAAAGCAATGTGCCGTGTGTGAGACTCACAAAAATTCAAAGATGGGCAGAATAGCCCAAGACAACAGCAAATGGCAGGACAACACAGGACACGACTGGACGGGACAGAACACGAGAGAGAGAGAGAGAAGGACACGGCAGAACAGCACAGAAGAAAACAGTAAATCACAGCACAGGGTAGCAAGCAAAGCACAGCAGTGGACAAAACGGAAAAGGGCGGGACTGGAAAGGACATGATCAGGCAAGACAGGACAACGCAGATCAGGACAGGACAGAAATGACGGAGGGCGGGAGAGAGGCAGGGACAGAGACAGGGATGGACAGGGGCACGACCAGCTGTTGCTCTGACCGTGCGCCATACGGATACGACTAACCTGAAGCTGGTGGAGGGGTTGGGCTCAGAGGGGTCCAGCGCCTGGCTCGAAACTGGCGGGACGGTCTCCACATTCTGGTCACCAATCCGCGCTAGAAACCAAACTCTCAAACCACAAATGATTCGGTTTAGGCATGGCTGGCAGGTCCGTCCTCCTGCCCATGGGCTCTATCCACTTCGGTGACGAAAAAGAAGGGCTTCTCACAAGAGACACGGTTTAGCACAGCTTGACAAGAACCTGACTTCGGCCACTTACGTGGATAGACTTGTTACCCCCCTTTTCCTCCCTGCTGTTGTCCTTCCTCCTCCTCCTGCTCCTCGTCATCATCATCATCATCATCATCATCAGCAGCAGCAGCAGCATAATCATCATCATCATCATCACCAGCATCAGCATCAGCATCATCGTCGTCATCATCTGCAGCATCATCACCATCATAAATCATCAGCAACATCATCATCATCATCATCATCATCATCATCATCATCATCATCATCATCATCATCATCATAATCATCATGGTCATCATCATCATCATCATCATCATCATCATCATCATCATCATCATCATCATCTTCATCATCTTCATCGTCACCAGCATCATCACCAGCATCAGCATCAGCATCAGCATCATCAGCAGCAGCACCATCATAAATCATCCTCATCGTCAGCATCATCAGCAGCATAATCGTCATAATCAGTATCATCCTTTGCGTCCGTTGTGCATGGCTGCACCGAACTGTAAGTCTCCAGATGTTCTCGCGCTCTTGCTCTCACCGCTTCGGTCAGGAGGGCGAGGACGAGGGCGAGAGAGAGGGGGGGAAGGGAGGAGAGGAGCAGAAGAGCAGAGGAGCGAACAACAACAACTATCAAAAGAACGCGGGGAGAAAGAGGCGAGGAGCGAGAAGCCTGGAGGGCGGAAGGAAGAGAGAGAGGTCAGGCCGGGGCTCGTCTGCACTCAGGCCGCCCTTGGGTTTGGCCCCAAAAGAGCCTGCGTGGACGAGGAGCGCCAGAGACGCCAACGTGAAAAAACCTGAAGAACATGGAGCCCCTTCCGAACCCAAACTGTTCCTTCTCTACACGACCACCCTTCTGGGAATAGGGAGGCTCGGGGGGGAGAAAAAGGCGTCTCAACGCATCGATCTCACGATCGATCCCACGATCGATCTCACACGATCGATCTGACTCGATCGATCTCGCCCCCTCACCTCCGACTTCAGCGTCTTGGCTACATCCCGCTCTGCCCGGCGGTCCGAGGCGAAGGAGGCCGAACCAGGCGACAGGCGCGAGTGCGACGAGGCGAGCCCCGACCGCGCTCCCACACGGCCGCCCCGCCTGGCGTGACGTGCGGCGCATCGTCTCGCCCCGCGCGTCGGGGGGGGGCGTCGAGGCCATGCTCCCGCCCCTCTCCCCATCCCCCCTTCTTCCCCTTGTCTCCCTCCCGCTCCTCCTCCAACTCCTCCTCCTCCTCCTCCTCCTCCTCCTCCTCCTCCTCCTCCTCCTCCTCCTCTCCTCCGCATCCAATTCCTCCTCCTCCTCCTCCTCTCCTCCTCCTCCCCCTCCTCCTCCTCCTCCTCTCTCCTCCTCCTCATCATCATCCTCATCCTCATCCTCATCCTCATCTCATCCTCCTCCTCCTCCTCCTCCTCCTCCTCCTCCTCCTCCTCCTCCTCCTCCTTCCTCCTCCTCTTCTTCCCGATGCATCGGAGCACTCGTCTGAGCGCACCACAACTAACGCCACGGCTAGCACTCTGTAGTAATAGCCGACACCTTGTCCCCTCCCTCAGGGAGGAAACCTGCCAAGAGCCTTCTGAGGGCACGCAGCCCATGCACCCCAGGCTTTCTGCATGGGGAAAGAAGGCTCTTCAACTGCTTAGGGGAATGGGCCCACACACCAAACAGACCACAGCGGGGTTCATCTGCTTCCAAAAAGGCGGTGCAGTATCAAGAGACACCAGCTTATGTGGAGTATCCCGCTGTGCCTCGAGCTTCCTCGAGGCCTCCACTGCACGGGACACGATCGAGCCAGCGCACTCTCTTTGAGCAGGCTCTGATGCACGGCAACGTCTGCACCAGCGGCTTCCGCCGGGGCCATGCCAATCGTGATCGAGGATCGATCGCACAGCGGGCCGAGACGGGCCCGCCGAACCGCGCGGCCGAATCGGACGAGCCGAGTGACGAACGACCGCGCAGTCGCAACCATCGACCGACGCCCCGACGGCATTCGTCTCAACAGATTGCAGCAGTTGTGCAGATTCGTACGGCCGAAGGCCCAGGAATGGCGTCCTAGCGCGAGTCAGGACTGTCAGGACACCACCGCCACGTTGATTCGCAAGGCTGAAACCCCTGGACCGCCACGTTGATTCGCGGCGCAGAAGCCCTTTTGGCACGATTGACGATTCTCTCGTGATTACCTTCTAATGGGCCACTTCCCGCCACGAGCACACTCCTTACACGGGCATATGCATAGGAAGCGCAGAAGGAAGGTTTATTGCAATATCGTTGGTATGTCTTGGGTGTACACTGGTCCTCCTCCTCCTCCTTCTCCTCCTCCTCCGCCTCCTCCTCTTCCTCCTCCCTCCTCCTCCCTTCCGCCCTGCCTATCCATCTTCTTTCCCCTCACTCCTCCTCCTCCACAGATTCCCCCTCCTTCTCCTGCTCCTCATCTTCTGTCTCCTCCGCCTCCTCCTCCTCCTAACCCGCCTCCTCATAATCATCATCATCATCCGCATCATCGTATTCAGGTTTCTCTTCTTCTCAGTTGTATACATATGTGTCTCCTGTTTCTTATGTCCATTGTGTTTATAGTCTTCCGAAAAGTCAGATCATCAACAACATTATCAGCATTGCCAACATCACCCATACCATGCATAGTATGAATAATACTAGTTTCGTCTTGGCATCAGTAATATTGATACTCGCGTGATCAAGCATATTAGTTATTAGTAGCACCAATAGTCATCATAGCAAGGATATTCGTAATAGTAGTAGTAGTAGTAGTAGTAGTAGTAGCAGCACCACTACTACTACTACTACTACTACTACTACTACTACTACTACTACTACTACTACTACGACTACTACTACTACTACTACTACTACTACTACTACTACTAATAATACTACACTACTACTACCACTACTACTACTACTACTACTACTACTACTACTACTACTACTACTACTACTACTACTACTACTACTATACTACTACTACTACTAGTACTACTATACTACTACTACTACTTACTACTACTACTACTACTACTACTACTACTACTACTACTACTACTACTACTACCTACTACGACTACTACGACTACGACTACGACTACTACTACTACTACTACTACTACTACTACTACTACTACTACTGCTACTGCTACTACTACTACTACTACTACTACTGTTGCTACTACTACTACTACTACTACTACTACTACTAGTGGTCTTCATGGTAGTGGTGGTATCAGCAGTATGATTCGTCTTAGTATCACTGATATTGCTAATAGCAATATCAGGAGCGTGGGATTCTTAACACTCAAGTGTAGACTGTTAAGAATATAATCACTCTTCTGCAGCAGTATTAGCGCTGTTGCTGCTAGGATTGCGTTTACTAGTTGTATGGATCGTATGAGTAGTAGTAGTACTATGGATCGCACTCGGATCAGTACTGCAAATAGCACTAGTAGTAGCAGCCGTAGCAGTAGCAGCAACAGTGGTCGTAGTAGCAGTATTAGCACTAGTAGTAGTAGCACTAGTAGTAGTAGCATTAGTAATAGTAGTAGTAGTAGTAGTAGTAGTAGGAGTAGTAGTAGTAGTAGGAGGAGGAGGAGGAGGAGGAGCAGCAGCAGTAGTAGTAATAGCAGCAGTAATGGTAGTAGTAGTAGCAGCAGCAGCAGTAGTAGTAGTAGTAGTAATAGTAGTAGTAGTAATAGGAGTAGTAGCAGCAGCAGCAGGAGTAGTAGTAGTAGTAGTAGTAGTAGTGTAGTAGTAGTAGTAGTAGTAGTAGTAGTAGTAGTAGTAGTGGTAGTAGTAGTAGTAGTAGTAGTAGTAGTAGTAGTTGTAGTAGTAGTAGTAGTAGTAGTAGTAGTAGTAGTAATAGTAGTAGTAGTGGTAGTAGCAGCAACAGCAGCAGTAGCAATAGTAGTAGTAGTAGCAGCAGCACTAGTATCAGCAGACAAAACAGTAGCAGTAGTAGTAGTAGTAGTAGCAGCACCAGTAGTAGTAGTGATAGTAATAGTCGTCGTCGTAGTCGTAGTTGTAGCTGTCGCAGTAGTAGCAGTAGTCGCCGTAGTAGTGGTAAAAATAAGAAGAAGAAGAAGAAGAAGAAGAAGAAGAAGAATATCAGTAGTCGCCGTCCTCCGCCTCCTCCTCCTCCTCCTCCTCTTTCTTCTCCACCTCCTCCTCCTCCTCCTCCTCCTCCTCCTCCTCCTCCGTATTCTTCCTCCCTCCTCCCTCCCCTTCCTCCCTCCTCCCTCCTCCACCCTACCTCCTGGGGGCGTTCGGAGGTTGGCGGCGACCCTCAGCATACGCCCTCGCGAACACGGCGGCCGCGACTGCCAGGGCCGCCACGGCGGCCACGGTGGCCTCGGGTCGCGCGGGGGCTGCGAGGACCAGAACTGGAGTGAACGGGCCCAGGCGGACACAAATAAATCGGCACGACTGCCAGGATGTCAATCGGTTACCAAATTTCTGGATGTCCCTCTTCCCCATCAACCTCCCATAAGTACCCATGACTTCATGAACATCAGTTGTTGCTCATGTTCGTACCTATGCTTCCTTCCTGACAGAGGGCAGATCGGAGAAGGGCCAGTCGAGACTGCGGCGGCCCTTCCTGGCGTATTCGTCGTGTCTGGACCTCAAGGGGGCTTGTCGCCGACACGGCTGGATCCGCCTCGAAAAAAAACCCGCAGGACTGACCACGGGAGGGATCTGGGGGCCCATTTTGAACGGCCAGGGAGGGGAGGGCCAGGGGGGAGGGAGGGGGAGACTGGCGCGGTGGTCTCGAAGGCGCTCTCCCACGCTGCGCCCCAGCTCCCTTTCCTCCTCCTCCTCCTCCTCCTCCTCCTCCCACCTCCTCTCCTCCCCTCCTCCTCCTCCTTTTCTTCCTCCTCCCTCCCTCCTCCTCCTCCTCCTCCTCCTCCTCCTCCGCCTCCTCCTCCTCATCCTCCTCCCCCTCGCCATCCACGCCCTCCTCCTCCTCCTGCTCCTCATCATCATCCTCCTCCTCGCCTTCCGCGCTCTCCTCACCCTCCTCCTTTTCTTCCTCCTCCTTCTCCTCTTCCTCCACGCTCTCCTCCTCCTTGCCATCCACGCTCTATTCCTCTCCTCCTCCTCCTCCTCATTCCTCCTCCTCTCCTCCTCATCCGCCTCCTCCTCCTTCTCCTGTTCCTCCTCCTCCTCCTGCTCTCATCATCATCATCATCATCATCATCATCATCATCATCATCATCATCATCATCATCATCATCCTTCTCCTCTTCTATCTCTTCCTCCTCCTCCTCCTCCTCCTCCTCTCCTCATCATCATCATATCATCATCATCATCATCATCATATCATCATCATCATCATATCATCATCATCATCTCATCATCATCCTTCTCTCGTCATCATCCTCTCCTCCTCCTCCTCCTCCTCCTCCTCATCCTCCTCCTCCTGCTCCTCCTCCTCCTCCTCCTCCACGCCCTCCTCCTCCACCTCCTCCTCCACGCCCTTCTCCTCCACGCCCTCCTCCTCGCCCTCCTCGTCTTCAACCTCATCCTTGAGTCCATGTGTTCCGATTGGTAGACATTCGGTCCGAGGTAAGTGCGCAACCGAAGGGGGGGCAGGGAATGCGCTTAAGAAAAAGGGGGCAATAAGATCGCGGAAAAGTCATGGCCCTGGCCATGATATCCGCCGATCCGGCGTGTGAGTTTCAAAGACCCTCAGATATAGCCTGAGTCTCAGTTCTTGAGCTTCAGCTCTGCTGGGGGGGAGGGTGCCGGGGTGGCTCTGCTGGGGTAGGGGGTGTGGGGGGGGGTCCGAGCCTATTGGTGGCAAAATCTGAGCTCCGGCTCACTCTGGGTCGGCCCCTCGCCCCGGAGAGCTCGAACGCGGGCTCATAAAAATCCCAGCGGCCGCCCAGACGGCCCAAGAGGGCCCTGAGTGGCCGAAACATCGCTCCAAGACGCTCAATATGTTCCTCAGACGGATCCAGAAGCCTCCAACGTACTCTCCCGGCACCTCCTAAGAGTGCCCAAAGACGGAAAATCTGTCCCATTCCCTTCAGAAAAAAAGAATATATATATATATATATATATATATATATATATATATATATATATATATTATATATTCCATTTTCGCTTCTTCGGCCTTCGCAATGTCCAACACGGCCCAGGAGACCCCCAAAACAGGCACAGAGGCTCTCAAGAGGGCCCCAAGTCGGCCAAAGAAGGGCCCAAGACGGACTGGGAGGCCCCCAAGATGGGCCCCAGGACGAGCCCAAGAAGCGCCCAAGAGGGCTCCATGACGGCCCCAGAGGGCCCAAGACCACCCAAGAGGCGCCCAGGAGGCATCAAAATGGCCCTAGGAGTCCCCAAGAAACCCCGAGAGGCTCTAAGTAGCCCTCAAGAGGCCCCCAAAAGGCGCCCAAAAGCGCTCCCGAAGGCTTAAAAATTATCCCGGCAAAGCAACCTAACAGCGATGTGTAGGAGCATATCTGGAAGCATTCCCCTTAAGATTCAGATAAGAATCCTGTTGTAGAATTCTGCTGTTCTCGCAGTCGTGGTCGCATTCGCGATGGCAGTCGCAGTGGCAACAGCAGTCGCAGTCACAGCCTCAGCCTCAGCCTGCCTCAGCCTCAGCCTCAGCCTGCCTCAGCCTCAGCCTGCCTCAGCCTCGCCCTCAGCCTGCTTCAGCCTCAACATCAGTCTGCCTTCAGCCTCGGCCTCAGCCTGCCTCAGCCTCACCCTCAGCCTGCATCAGCCTCAGCCTGCCTCAGCCTCGCCCTCAGCCTGCTTCAGCCTCAACATCAGTCTGCCTTCAGCCTCGGCCTCAGCCTGCCTCAGCCTCACCCTGCAGCCTCAGCCTCAGCCTCAGCCTCAGCCTGCCTCAGCATCAGCCTGCCTCAGCCTCAGCCTCAGCCTGCCTCTGCCTCAGCCTCAGCCTGCTTCAGCCTCAGCCTCAGTCTGCCGTCGGCCTCGGCCTCAGCCTCAGCCTGCCTCACCCTCAGCCTGCATCAGCCTCAGCCTCAGCCACAGCCTGCCTCAGCATCAGCCTGCCTCAGCCTCAGCCTCAGCCTCAGCCTGCCTCAGCCTCAGCCTCAGCCTGCTTCAGCCTCAGCCTGAGTTTGCCTGCAGCCTCGGCCTCAGCCTCAGCCTGCCTCAGCCTCAGCCTGCCTCAGCCTCAGCCTCAGCCTCAGCCTGCCTCAGCCTCAGCCTGCCTCAGCCTCAGCCTCAGCCTGCCTCAGCCTCAGCCTCAGCCTGCTTCAGCCTCAGCCTCAGTCTGCCTTCAGCCTCGGCCTCAGCCTCAGCCTGCCTCAGCCTCAGCCTGCATCAGCCTCAGCCTCAGCCTCAGCCTGCCTCAGCATCAGCCTGCCTCAGCCTCAGCCTCAGCCTGCCTCAGCCTCAGCCTCAGCCTGCTTCAGCCTCAGCCTCAGTCTGCCTTCAGCCTCGCAGCTCATCAGCCTCAGCCTGCCTCAGCCTCAGCCATCAGCCTCAGCCTCAGCCTCAGCCTGCCTCAGCCTCAGCCTGCCTCAGCCTCAGCCTCAGCCTCAGCCTCAGCCAGCCTCAGCCTCAGCCTGCCTCAGCAGCCTCAGCCTCAGCCTCAGCCTGCTTCAGCCAGCCTTCAGCCGGCCTCAGCCTCAGCCTGCCTCAGCCTCAGCCTGCATCAGCCTCAGCCTCAGCCTCAGCCTGCCTCAGCATCAGCCTGCCTCAGCCTCAGCCTCAGCCTGCCTCAGCCTCAGCCTCAGCCTGCTTCAGCCTCAGCCTCAGTCTGCCTTCAGCCTCGGCCTCAGCCTCAGCCTGCCTCAGCCTCAGCCTGCATCAGCCTCAGCCTCAGCCTCAGCCTGCCTCAGCATCAGCCTGCCTCAGCCTCAGCCTCAGCCTGCCTCAGCCTCAGCCTCAGCCTGCTTCAGCCTCAGCCTCAGTCTGCCTTCAGCCTCGTCCTCAGCTTCAGTCTGCCTTCAGCCTCAGCCTGCCTCAGCCTCAGCATCAGCCTGCCTCAGCATTCAAAGTGTGGCCCGGGAATGGAGTTCTGGGAACTCGAAGAACACGAAGTGGCCTACAGTTGGCTCCGGGCATTCAAAATCATGCCCAGGAATGGAGTTCTGGGAACTCGAACACCACGAAGTGGCCTACAGTTGGCTCCGGGCATTCAAAATGTGGCCCGGGAATGGAGTTCTGGGAACTCGAAGAGCACGAAGTGGCCTACAGTTGGCTCCGGGCATTCAAAATGTGGCCCGGGAATGGAGTTCTGGGAACTCGAAGAGCACGAAGTGGCCTACAGTTGGCTCCGGGCATCCAAAATGTGGCCCGGGAATGGAGTTCTGGGAAATCGAAGAGCACGAAATGGCCTACAACTGGCTCCGGGCATTCAGAATGTGGCCCGGGAATGGAGTTCTGGGAGGTCGAAGAGCACGAAGTGTGTGACTGTATGCAAAAAACGATCCCCCCCGGCAAATCCCAACGGCCCCCCAACGGCTGCCCAGACCCCCCTGTGGAGTAATGTGCTGCTTTCTTTTTAGTCCATTAGAAACCTATCAGTCTTCGCTGTTAGGTAATTACATACCTCCTACACACCCCCAGGAGGCCTCCACGATGCCTCCTGCACGCCCCCCAAGAAGCCCAAAAGGCCCCAAAGAGGCTCAACAATCACCTCCAAGACGTCCCCCCAGGAGGCCTCGAAGATGCGTCGCAGAGGCCCCTCGAGAAGCCCACGCAATGCCTCCAAGCTGTGTCCAAACCACTCACGTTTGAACAAGCGCGCGGGGGCGAAAACGTCCTTCTGACAACGGGATCGTCCCGGATCGGCGGCACCGGCCGGAGGCCTCTACAACATCTACACCCCCGAGTCCCACCCCCATCGTGGACTTCCCCGATAAGGCGGCGGCAGAACAAAACCTAGATGGGATGAGAGCGGGGATCTCCGAGAGCCCGCGAATCTGGATGATGCATCGGGCGACGCAGCCGCCCGCCCCAGCGCGCCCTGGCACGCTCTGGGAGCGCGCAGGAACACTCTGGGACGACGTATATGTTTTCGAAGCCTGCCCGAAGACCTCCGACTCAATAATTTCTTCAACTTCGGTTTCTTTCCTCGACTTCGGCTTCTGGAAGCCCGTTTCGGGACCCAGGACTGGTAAAGACCGGCCAGGGACGACAAACTGGTCCCTTGGAACGGGCGGGGACATCCGAGGATCCTGAAATGTGAAAACGACATCTTACGTCGGAAGACCAAACAGATCCCAACGCACAAACACACACACACACACACTTTTTTTTACCTGCACGAAGGAGCCCAGCGGCACACACACACACACACACACACACGCACGCACGCACGCACGCACGCACACACACACACACACACACACACACACACACACACACACACGCACGCACGCACGCACGCACACACACACACACACACACACACACACACACACACGCGCACGCACACACACACACACACACACCACACACACACACACGCGCGCACGCACGCACGCACGCACGCACGCACGCACGCACGCACGCACGCACGCGCAACACAACGCAACGCAACGCAACGCAACGCAACGCACGCAACGCAACGCAACGCAACGCAACGCACACACACACACACACACACACACACACACACACACACACACACACACACACACGCACACACACACACACACACACACACACAAAGACGGGAGGTGGGTATGAGGGACTGTAGCCCAGCGAGCGTGCAGCAGCCAGAAACCGAGGAGCACGCCAGGGCGAGCTCGACTCAAAGTGAACTGAAGCGCGGGCAGTGCAGTGCGAATCGCCACTGAATCATCGAGCGATCGCTATTAGCACACACATCACACACACAGCGCACACAGACACTACCCATCGATCGGAAGAAGTGAGTACAAGCATGAAGTAGAAGGCGTTGGAAGTAAAATGGGTTTCCGCCTGTACTCTAAAAAGGAAGGAAGAGGGAAAACCTCTCGATCCTGGAAGTAGGAAGGCGCCTAAATTGGAATACGGGGTCCAAAAAATTCTACTGTCATCGACCAGTGGGTACCGATGCTGGAGTAAAACCTCATGTCACAAGCCCACTCCGCGCAGGTCGATGATGCAGACACTCCCTGACACTATAGCAAGCGCCCGCTGGAAAAGGAAGGGACCCACGACAGTGGATGGTATCGACCCGCTACGTCTTGAAGTGGGCGCCAACGACTATGTACGAGGCGTTGTAGGTCGCAGTCGGTCTGAGATAAAGAGAGAGAGAGAGAGAAAGAGAGAAAGAGAGAGAGAGAGAGAGAGAAAGAGAGACACCGAGAGAGAGAGAGAGCGGGAAAGAGAGAGAGGCAAGCAGACGGACGGATAGACAGACAGACTGACAGACAGACAGACTGACAGACAGACAGACTGACAGTCAGACAGACAGGCAGGCAGGCAGGCAGACAGACAGACAGTCGCGATTTGTCTGCGTGTGCACGGCAGGAGCGTGTCGGAGAAGTGAAAACCAACGCGGGAGCAACAGCACGATAAAGGGACCACCCTCCATCGGTCCTGCGGCTGCGAGCATCCAAATATCTCATGATACGAGCAGCCTCAGCGACGGCCTTCTGCTGGGTGCCGGCCTCCATCTGCGAAGCTTGGGGATACTTGCACATTCAGGGTCTTGAAAATTAGGGGGGGGTCCCACACGAGACCCGCACTGTTAAAACGGTCCGCCCTCCATCCGTGCTTCACTGCTGGACGCGTTGCATACGAAATCGCGCGACGCTCAAGCCGGAGTCACATGAAGTTGAAGGTGAAACGCCCTGCCCCTGTTCAACCGTTACTGATGTTACGACGTTTGTTCACGGTGCTAACGCGAAAGGCACAGTTTGACGACGACTTGTGCTCCATCCCTCCCACTCCTCCAAGATGTTCGAACAACTCTCTGTTCTGCGCAAACGCGACAGCCAAATTCTCTAAGAGACCCATGCTACACCGAATCAAGACTGGTAGCTGCTAGGGCACTTCAGAAACTGGATCGGATAGCAGGAAAGAACTCTGTGCCTATCAATCAGAGCAGCTCATGGGCTCACAGGCAACCTCCCCGTCACCACCATGATCAGCATCAACGCCAGCATCAACATTACCTCAATAATCATCCCCACAACCATGGTCATAATCCTCATCATCGCCATCATCATGGGCATCGTCAGTCGTCATCGTCGTCATCATCATCATCAGCATCATCAGCATCATCATCACCATCATCATCACAACATCATCCACCATAACCCTCGTCGTCATCATCATGGTCGTCGCCACCAGTATCATCAGCAGCACCAGCATACCTAATCATCATCATCATCATCACCACCATCATCATCATCATCATCATCCTCATCATCATCATCATCATCATCATCATCACCGTCAACATCATCATCATCATCATCATCATCATCATCATCATCACCATCAGAATCATCATCATCATGATCATCATCATCGTCATCATCATCATCATCGTCATTGTGATCGTCATCATAACCATCATCATAATCCTCATCATCGTCATCATCATGATCGTCGTCGTCGCCAGCATCATCAACATCACCATCGTCGTCAACATCATCACCAACGTCATCCTCGTCGTCATCGTCATCGTCATCATCAGCATCATCAATGTCATCTTCATCCTCCTCAGCATCGTAATCCTCATCATCCTCATCATCATCATCATCATCATCATCATCGTCGTCGTCATCTACATTTTCATCGTCATCATCATCACCACCACCACCATCATCATCATCACCACCATCATCATCATCATCACCACCACCATCATCATCATTATCATCATCGTCGTCATCGTCGTCGTCGGCGTCGTCGTCATCGTGGTCGTCGTCGTCGTCGTGGTCGTCGTCGTCATCGTCGTGGTCGTGGTCGTCGTCGTTGTCGTCTTCGCCGGGGCTGAGCGCCCGGCTGCGACGTGCGCGCAGCAGCTGACGCCCGGGCCGCCCGGCGGCGAGGGGCCGCCCGGGCCCTCGGCGAGGCGGGCCCAGGGGGGGGGGCCAGAAAGGCGGCCAGGGCAGATTGAGAGGGTACACGTCGTTCATTTCCAATCGTGCTCATGTCTGATTGTGCGCGTTTCTAATTGTTCCTGGCCCCCTAGTGGCCAGGAAGAGGCCCAGGATAGAACAATTAGATATGAAAGGATCTTGGCTCCCCAAGAGATCAAAGACTTTTCGAATGATTCGACATGAACAATGTGTAGAATCATAAAATGTTTGAAATTGGGGAGGAGCAGAAGATGGGAGCGGACCGCGATAGCGATGTTATACCTCCTCCTCCTCCTCCTGGACAGCTGGCCTGGGCAGTAATCCTCACGGGTTGCTCTTTCTGTCTGCGTCTGTCTGTCCAGGGGGGGGGGCAGGATTTGGCAGAATTTGTCCGCTCCAGCCAACGCCTACAGTAAGCAGCAACATAAACGTGGCGAGGCCCGATGCCGTCCTCCCCGACTGGCGTTTCGGCCACGTTCATTAGACAGCCTTGCGACGAACATGATAATTGCCAGCACGCTTGGCGAGGCGAGTTCTGTATATGTATATTACCGAGGTAGAAGCAAAGAAATTGCTTGGTCACCCAAGGTCAACAACAATCATTTGAGGCTGCTCGCTCGTCGCTGCCCGCGTGCCACTTCACATGCATACCTCGAGCCCGCAGACCCCCCCGCCTGCCGTACCCCCTTTTGGCATTTCACTCGTCGTGCCAACTCCTGATCAAACCCCGACGCGGTAAGAAAATCGAAAGGGCGGGCGGGCCCCAACGAGCGATTCGGGCGGGTCGGGCGGGCGGAACATGAAAGCGAGGGGCTTTGCGAGGGGCTTTTGCATTTCAAGCAATCAACCCGGACATCCAGCATCCCCTGGAGGGGGGGAGGAACACGACGAGACGACGACGATCCTAGGACCAAAAGCTCAAACATCCTAACGGAAAAGGTGTCGAGAGGGAGGGCTGTAACGTCAGTGGCGCCATCCTCATCCTTCTCGTGATCCGCCGTCCTGGTCCTCCCCCTCATCCTCATCATCACCATAATCATCAACAACATCAGCATCATCATCATGATCGTCAACATCATCGTCATCATCAGCAGCATCAACCCCATCATCAGCAGCAGCAGCATCAGCATCGCCATCGTCATCAATGTCATCAGCTTCATCGTCATCGTCGTCGTCAGCATCATCATGATCATACTGAGCATCAGCACCAGCAGCATCCTCATCATCAGCATCATCGGTATCATCATACTCATCTTCAGCATCAGCAGCAGCATCATCATATTCATCTTCATCCTCATCCTCATCATCATCACCTTCGTCCTTACCCTCATCCTCCTCATCCTCATCAGTCTCTCCATCTTCGTCAACATTATCCTCCTCCGCCTCCGTCCTCCGCCGCCTCCACCTTCTCCGCCTCCTCTTCCTAGCTTCTCCGCCTCCTCCTCCCTCTCTTCTCCTCCTCCTCCTCAACCTCCTCTCTTTCCTCCTCCTCCTCATTATTGCGATGATGAGTATTCTTGGTACTCTCAGTATGATTATTAGTAGTAGCAGTATTAGTAATAGTATTACAATGATTATTACTAGTATTACTATTATTACTAGCTATATGTTCCTTTAACTGATACTAGCATCCTCATGGTTACTGTATTTTTATGTATACTCCTCCTCCTCCTCCTCCTCCTCCTCCTCCTCCTCCTCCTCCTCCTCCTCCTCCTCCTCCTCCTCCTCCTCTTCCTCCCCGCCTTCCCCTCTTGCACAGGAGCCCGCCCCGCCCTCTACCCCCCAGGGCTCGCAACCCCAACCCCGCCTCCCTTGCGGGCCCGCGGGGCGCCAGAGGGAGGGCCGCTGCTCGCCTGCGCCCCGCGGGACATGGGGTCGCAGCCGCTCACCTGGTAGCTCGCGGAGGAGTGACAGGAGGAGGCTAAGAATGGGCCGAGGAGCAGGAGGAGGAGGAGGAGGAGGAGGAAGACGAGGAGGAGGAGGAGGATGAGGAGAAGGAGGAGGAGGAGGAGGACGACGAGGAGGAGGAGGAGGAGAAGGAGGAGGAGGAGGAGGAGCAGCAGGAGGAGGAAGAGGAGGAGGAGGAGGAGGATGGGGAGGAAGGGGAGGAGGAGGCGAAGGAGGGGGAGGAACAGAGTGCGGAGGCCCCGTGGAGGTCCCTCCTCGGTTTCGTCTGGGGCTCTACCAGGAACACCGTGGGAAGCAAAGCCACTCGGCGCATTCCGGCGGCCACGCGGCCGCTTTTACCGGGGTCTGCTGGGGTGCTCGCTGGACGCCTTGCCTGCCCTGTGCGTTTGTGCGCCTGGCCTGCCAGACCTCGCGGCCGCAGGAGCAGGCAGCAGGAGCAGCAGGAGCAGGAGCAGCCATTCACTTTGAAGCTCCAGGAGGGGAAGGACGGAGGCGTCGTCGTCTTTGTCGCCAGCCGTCGTCGTCGTCGGGGGGGAGCAGGAGGAGGAGGAAGTCAGAGAGAAGGAGCAAGAGAAGGAGAGAACGGGAGATCGTAGAGTCCCTCGGTGTTCCCAGGCGCGCGAACGAGGCTTTCACACTGCTCTCGCGTGTGCGTTTGTGTCTCGCGCGTGCGTCTGTGAATGTTTCTGTGGAGCGCGCGCGCATGTTCTGCGTGCTCTTCGGCGTATTCCTCCTCACCCTCCTCAACCACCGCCTGCTCTTCCCCTCCTCCCCCCATGCATATGCGTGCCCCCATCGAAGAATTACAATTGATTTTGTCATACCCAAAAAAAACAGGTATCCGCCACGTTGCGTTGGTGATTTATTCATCCAATGCGCGTTGAGAGGAGGGGGAAGGGAGAAAAGCTTCTCGGCGTGCTGCTCCTCCCGCGCGCATGCCATGCGTTGCACGCTCTTCAGCGCATTCCTCCCCACCCCCCTCAACCGCCAGTTCCTTCTCATCCTCCTCCTCCTCCTCCTCCTCCTCATCCTCCTCCTCTTCCTCCTCCTCCTCCTCCTCCTCCTCCTCCTCCTCCTCCTCCTCCTCCTCCTCCTCATCCTCATCATCATCATCATCATCATCATCATCATCATCATCATCATCATCATCAGCATCAGCATCAGCATCAGCATCATCATCATCATCATCCTCCTCCTCCTCCTCCTCCTCATCATCATCATCATCATCATCATCATCATCATCATCATCATCATCATCATCATCCTACTCCTCGTCCTCGTCCTCCTCCTCCTCCTGCTCCTCTTCCATAGAACAAGGGCTACTCCCTCTCTCACCATCTCCGGCCCCTTCCCTTCGCCTCGGCTACACGTATGAATGACCCTGGGTTAAGAGTGACCTTCGATGCGCGGCTTAACGGGGGGCGCGGGATGGCCAAACCTGGGCGCGCAAGCCATTGCTACCGCTTCGCGCTCGGCGATCGGGAGAGCTCTTTGCACCCGCACCAAAGGTCACTCCGGCGAAAAGTCATTATTTCGTGTAGTCGATTTCCTCCCTCCATAGAAAAACGGCTGCTCCGCCTCCCCCCATCTCGGGCGCCTCCCCCCTTCCACGAGGCAAGGCGCCGTAGAATTGCTTGACACTGATTTGAATTGCACTGTTTGGTTTAGCTTGCTACTGCTTTGCGTTGCATTGCATGTAGTGGCATTGCTGCGCATGGCTTGGCATTGCATTGTAGTGCTTGGCAGTGTTTGAGATGTTTGGTATTGCGCTACATTGCTTGGCATTGATGTGCGTTGATTGACGCTGCGTGGCGCTACTTGGCATTGCTTGTCGCTGCTTCGGTGAATTTGGCATTGAATGGCACTGTTTTGCATTACCTGAGGTTGCTTGGCATTGCCTGGTATTGCTTGGCATTGCTTGACATGGAAGGGCAGTGCATGGCGTTGCTGGGCGCTGCTTGGCATTTCTTTTCTTCGAGTGGCATTGTTTGGCTTGCCTCGCATCGCTTGGCATTGTTTGGCATTGCTGGACATTGTTTGGCACTGATGGGCATTACTTGGCGGCGCGTTGCATTGATTTGATGTTCTTCGCTTAGCTGGGCATTGCTTGGCTTTGCTCGGGATTGCTTGGCAATGCTGGACATTGCTTGGTATTGCGTGGCGTTGATGCTAAGCGCTCGGCGATGCTCGCCAGCGAGACCGGGGAACCCGAGGAACCAGATTGGGGAGCACGAGAAGGGAAGGTAAGGAACAAGACGAGGGAAGCGAAGAAGGTCCAGGGAACCCAAGAAACTAACAAGAGGAACCCGAGCGAGAAAGAAGTCAAGACCATGGAACCGAGCAAGGCCGCGCGCGCCCACCGTTTCTTCTCCCAGAAACATTGCCGCGGCCAGACCCCTCCGTTCGCCCAGACTGGCGGGTCATCGTCCTCCTCTTCGTCCTTTTCGCTTCCGCGTCCTCTCCATGGCCCTCCTCGTCCTATCTCTTAGTGTCCTCATTTATCTCCCTCCTCGCCCGCCCTGTTCTCCTCTTCTCACCCCCCACGCGCGCGGCGTTTACGACGCCGAAAAAAACATGCGACGCAGAAAGATAATACTCGCTCAAGACGACTATAGAGATGGCGTGGCCACGAGAAAGGAGAGCGCATTGTTTTCTGTCGCGCGCGCCCCATTTGCGCGCGATCTGATGCCGAGGCGACAACTGCATCTCCGACAACATGTCAACGAGGCTGAATGGCAGGCTAGAGGTTCCGCTAGGCCTGGGCCCATTTGCATAGCCCCGCGCGGAAGCATTCCTTCGGCGCCATGCGCACTGCGCTGCTAGTCAACGCAATCCTGCACCGACGCAGCGCACCAAGCACGCTCGCCAGACCAGCTCGCCTCAGCAAGGCAGCGCCAGACAATGTCTGCACGGCCTTCTTGAGCTCGGTGGCGTTGGCGGCCAACATTGCCGACTCGGCGCAGAGCGTTCTCAATGTGTCCATGCGACGATTCAGCGCTATTGCCCCCCGCCACGAGCTTGAAGTACAACTTCGTCTCCAGGACAGCTGTGGTTCTGTCGCGGCAGTGGAGGCGCAGCATGGCAACCGTCAGCTGCGACAGCTTGCTTTTTCAGCAGCCGCGCGACGTGCATGAACACCTTTTTTTTCTGGTGGTTCACTCCAGACAGGGCAGCCACGCTAATCTCCTCTGCCGCAGAGTGGAAGGCGCGCGCGCCGTCCAGGGCTAACACGGCGCCAGGGCCAATGGCGCCGACAAGAAGACCGCGAACCGCCTCGAGGGACTTAGGGCCTCCAGGGACCCGCTCCACCGAGGAGCCCCTCGCTGGCAAAGCCTTAACATTCCATTTTTGTTGGGAACATGTACTTCTGCACGAGCGCGCGCCCCTCGTGGCTTTTAGCGCCGCCACGCAACTTCTTGCAAGTCACCATGCGGGAGCTGGCTGGCTCGACCACGTCGTCCTCGAAGACTGTCTCGAGGGCTATCTCGAAGTCGTGCACTTTGTGCACAGTGACTCGGATGACATCGCCCTTCCTGCGCACAAACTGAGCTGCTGCGTCGTTGGGCGCCTTACATCCCGTGGCATAGGCGGCACGCAGGCACATGCTGTAGTCGCGGTCGCAGCCGCTGGAGTCGCATCGGCGGAACGGCGTGAAGGCCGCGTCAGGATTGAGCAGGCACGGGCGACCGCACTTCGCCCCAATGCACCTGAAGCCCTCTTCCTGCTTGACCATCTGCCCGCCGCACTGCCAGCAAGCGAACGAATTCGCCTCGCACGCGCGCGGGGTAACGCCCGCCTCCACCAACATCTTCTTCGCGGCGTTCGGGCTCAAACCGACGACCTCCTCGAAGGAAGGCTGCTCCAAACGACGAAGCGTGATCTTGTCGGGAGCGGCGGACGTGGCTTCTCCGCCGTATGTCAGACCGTCCAGCTCGATCTTGGAATTCGTGCGACGAGCCTTCTCGCTGCGGTTGGTAAGGAATGGGCGGGCATTGCACCCGACGCCGTGGGCATTGCACCCGAAGAGTTGGGCATTGCACCCGAAAGGGTTGGGCATTGCACCCGACGCAGTGGGCATTGCACCCGCACGGTTGGGCATTGCACCCGAAAAGGTTGGGCATTGCACCCGACGCAGTGGGCATTGCACCCGCACGGTTGGGCGTTGCACCCGAAGAGTTGGACATTGCAACCGAGAGGGTTGGGCATCGCACCCGAAAGTTGGGAATTGCACCTGAAAGAGTTGGGCAGTGCACCCGAAGGGTTGGGCATTGCATCCAGAGTAACAACGAGGAAGAGACTCCCCCAAAGGAGGGAGGAGGAGGGACGAGGAGGGAGGAGAAGGGGCGTGGAGGGATGAGGGGGGAATGAGAGAAGCGAGGGGAGGCGGGGAGGGAGGAGGAAGGGGGAGGAGGGAGGAGGATGAGGATGGAGAAGAAAAGAACACATGGATCAGGGTAGAGAGGGCCAGAAACAACCCAAAGAAAACAACGCATGAGACTGCACGAGCCCTTCCGTGCGGCCTCCGTCGGACTCGGGGTGGGGGGGTGGGGGCGCACGCCGCCCTCAGCACCGTCGGCGCCGTCGTCGCCCGTCGAATGGGAAGGAAGCATTGCTCTACTCCTCCTGCTGCTGGGTATCCCGCCGCCTCCTCCTCGTCCTCCTCATTGTCCTCCTCGTCCTCCTGACCACAATCCGTGTCCCCTCCCGCCTCCTCCCCCCCCCCCTTCCCCCGTCGTCGTCGCGTCGTTGCTTGTGCCACTCAAGCAACGCAGTTCAAAGCTTTAAAACCGCATGAGCGGTCCTTCGAAAACTCATTCGAAAAGGAAGCCCCCGCCTGAGAGACCCCAGGAAAAAAACATCCAATACCAAGCTCCCGCCTGCGAGGCCCCAAAAAATCGCACTTAAAAGACAGCTCCCGCCTCAGGGGTCCAACGAAAAGAGCAATGCCTCTCACCCCTGCAACTTCCCCAAAGAAAGGTGTGTGTGTATGTGTATATATACATGTGTAAAAAAGAATTCATGCTTAGCTCTCTCCCTCTTCTCCCCATCCGTCCTGTGGAGGATGAGGAGGAGTTCTCATATGAAACTCTTGGCTTTTGGATGTTTGGGGGACAGTTGCAGGGATGAGAGGTGTGGCTCTTGGTGTTTTGGGGTTTGTTGGGGGACCTCTCAGGCGGAAGCCTGATTTTCGGTGTGGTTTGGGCCTCTCAGGCGGGAGCTTCTTTTTTGAGTGAGTTGTTGGTGACCTCTCAGGCGGGAGCTTGCTTTTGAGCGGTTGTGTTGGAAAGCCTCCTCCTCCTCCTCCTCCTCCCTCCCTCTTTTTCCGATCCGTCCCTTGGATGATGAGGAGGAGTTCTCCTCTGAACCTTTGGGTTTTTTCTGGTGTTTTGGGACAGTTGCAAGGATGCGAGGGGGTGCTCTTGGTTTGTGTTGGTTTGTTTTGGGACCTATCAGGCGGGAGCCTGATTTGGGATGTTGTTTGGGGACCTCTCAGGCGGGAGATTCCTTGTGAGTGAGTTGTTTGGGGACCGCTCAGGCGGGAGCCTGATTTAGAATGTTTGTTGTTTGACCTCTCAGGCGGGAGCTTCCTTTGGAGTGAGTATTCTGGGGGCCTCTCAAGCGGGAGCAAGACAACGAAGCACAACCTCACATAACGACACAGCGCGCGCACTCGAATAACATACGACTCAACACAACACAACACAGCGCATCACGAATAAGAAAGAAGACGCAGCATTCGTCTGGGCAATCGGAGGGGTCTATAGGCAATGTTGGTCAGCGTGGAACCCAAAGAGTGTTGTGTTGAATGTATGCGGTGCAGTCTACGTGGTTTGTGCTATGCGGCGATATCTATGCGGTGCAGCGCAATGCAATGCAATACAATGCAAAGCAAAGCAAAGCAATGCAACGCAACGCAAATCATCGCAAAGCGATGCAACGCGATACAAAGCACTGCAAAGCAATGAAAATCAATGCAAAGCCATGCTGAGACATGCAAGACAATGCAATTCAATGCAAAGCAATGCAACGCAGCGCAAATAATTACAAGGCAATGCAAAGCAGCGCAAGGCAATGCAGCGCAATGCCAAACAATGCAAAGCAAGGCGAAGCAATACAAAGCAACGCGAAGCAAAGGAAGGCAATGCAATGCGATTCGATGCAAAGCAATGCAGGTCAATGCAAAGCAACGCAAAGGAATGTAAGTGCAATGTACATGTTGCGATTGCAATGCAAATTGCAATGCAACGGGGGGTGCAACGGAGCGGTGGCAACGGGCGGCAACGGGGGCGCGACGCCATGCAGAGCAATGCAAAGCAACGCGAACAAGTAGTAACTTGGAAAGAGCTGGCAGAGAGATGGCACAGCTCACGAAGGCGAGGAAGAAGAGAGAGAGGGACAATGGTTACGTCGGGTTCATGCGGCGACGGCACGCTCAAAGGTTTTGGACACCGCCTCGATCGTTGAACCTTGAATCGATTGCGGCCCCGATCGTTCAAGGTTGTATTCAGTCGGGTGCAGTGGCGTTGCCGTCTCCGTCAGTGCTTCCGCGTCGCAGAATTCGACCTCGAGCGCTTCCGCCGGCGTCGCCCGCGCGCCGACGCCGCATGGGCCTACCGCAAGAGAAGAGCAAGGGGTGACGAATGCCCCTGGAGCACAGAGGGACTCCAGTCCCCCGGCCTCGTGCAGGAGGGGGAGTGCCGTTCGCATCACGAGCCAAGTGCAGACAGAGCGCGAGAGAATGCTGACAACGACGGCTTACAAGACGCACTGCGGAATGGGTGCAAGATCTGGCTGTGTAGAGATGGTGATTTGCAGTATCGCGACGGGTCTGCTGGATGCGCTTGGGTCTTTCGTGGCGTGCAACGGCACGGAGAAGCATGAGAGTATTTCTATGTTCGGGCAAACCAGGTTCGAAGAGCGTGGTGCAACGTGGGCGTGTAGCTGAGATGTTCGCTGTTGATGCAGCGTTGGCAACTCTCTCACTCGTATTTCGATTGGTTTCCTGGCATGCCGTGTGTTCTGACGGGTGCGCCACGTCATCAATTCTTGCACAAGCCGGAAGCAGCAGGCGCTCCTGCTTCTGGTCATCACCAAAACCCTTCACCCAGTTAATTCCCCTCCTTCTCACCATCATAACCATCATTTGTCTCTGTCTGCCTTCTCCTTCACCTCATCACTATCATTAGCATCATCATCAACATCATCACCATCATCATCACCATCATCATCATCAGCATCATCAGCATCAGTATCATCAGCATCATCACCAGCAACATAATCGTAATCATCATCATCAGCATCAGAATCAGCATCAGCAGCATCATATGTCTCATCATCAGCAGCATCAGCATCATGATCAGCATCGGCATCATCAGCATCAGCATCAGCATCATCATCAGCATCATCAGCATCATCATCATCAGCATCATCATCACCCTTCATTTTGATTGCACGGCCCTCCTCCTCCTCCTCCTCCTCCTCCTCATCTTCCTCCTCCTCCTCATTTGCGCCTCCCTCGGAGGCGACGGCATTGCGGGGCCTAATCAGCATCAGCATCATCAGCATCATAATCAGCATCGGCATCATCAGCATCAGTATCAGCAGCATCAGCATCAGCATCAGCATCATCATCAGCATCATCAGAATCAGCATCAACATCAGCAGCATCATCAGCATCATCAGCATCATCAGCATCATCACCATCATCCTAATCATCATCCTCATCCTCATCATCATCATCATCATCAGCAGCAGCAGCAGCATCATCAGAAGTATCAGCATCAGCATCAGCATCAGCACAGTCCACATCACCACCACCACGACCACCAGCTTTGCCATCATGATCACAATTTTCAACGTCACGAGTACCATCCTTACCATCACCATCACCGCCACCAATACCCACCATTCATATCCACGATTCGCTTCTACCCACCTCCTCCGTCCTCCTCCTCTGTCCGCCTGCTCCATCCTCCTTCTCCTCGTCCTCCTCCTCGTCCTCCTCCATCCTCCCGTTCCCCCTCCTCCTCCTCTTCCTCCTCCTCCTCCTCCTCCTACTCCTCCTGCTCGTCCTCCTCCTTCGGGCCCCCCAAGTTCACAAGCAGTTGTCCCACTGGGCGTAAAACAAAAGCCGTGTCCTCCTCCTCCTCCTCCTCCTCCTCCTCCTCCTCCTCCTCCTCCTCCTCTTCCTGCCTCCCTCCTCCTCCTCCTCCTCCTCCTCCTCCTCCTCCTCCTCCTCCTCCTCCTCCTCCTCCTCCTCCTCCTAGTCCATCTCCACCTGCTCGCCGTCGTCCTTCTCCTTCTCCTCCACCCTCCCGTGCCCTTCCGCGCGGGCTCGCCGGGACCCAGCCGTGCTCCTGGAACTGCAGCCTGCCCATTGCCCTCGCGGCGGGTTCAGGCGTGGTCCGCTCTCCCCTCCTTTTCCCGCTCTGCTCCCCATCCCCATAAACCGCCTAATCCCTTACCTTTCCAGGGGAGGGAAGGATGAGGGGGAGGAGAAGGAGGAGGAGGAGGGAGAAGAGGAAGAAGAAGAAGAAGAAGAAGAGCAGAAGGAGAAAAGCGGGGCAGGAGATTGGGAGGGAAAGGAGGAGGAGATGCGGACTGGGAGGAGGAGGAGGAGGAAGAGGAGGGCGCAATGGAAGGAGACGGCGGGAGCGGGAAACGAGGAAGATGATAAGAAGGAGGCGGAGGAAAAGAGGCCGCATGGGAAGGAGGGGAGGCGATAAGGGGGAGAAGAGCGAGGGGGAGAAGAGGGAGGAAGAAGAAGAGGAGGAGGAAGAGGAATGTGAGGAAGCGAAGATGGACGATCAAGAGGAGGAAGAGGAGAAGGAAGAGTAGGAAGGAAAGGAGGAGGAGGAGGAGGAAGAGGGGGGAAGAAGAGGAGGAGAGGGCAGACGAGGAAGACGAGGAGGAAGATGGTAAGGAGAGGGATAAGGAGTAGGAGTAGGAGGAGCGAGACGAGGAGGAAGACGAGGTGAAGGAAGACGAAGGGGAGGGAGAGGAGGAGGGACGTTGAGGAGGAGGGGGGCGAGGGGAAGGAGGAGAGCAAACAGGAGAAGGAAGGGCACTGCCCCGATACGCAACACGCAACCCGCAGCGTGTTGACACGGACCTCAACACGCAGATCGAACACGTACGTTTGGCGCGACACGTTCAGCAAAACGCGGGCCAAGAAGTTGGGCCAACACGCAACGTGTTGAAACGGACGTCTTGAACACGGTACGTATTGCGTTTCAAAACGGGAGTACTAGGGCAGCTCAAGAAGAGGGTGGTGAGCGGGGACTGAGGAGTGAGGAGTGAGGAGTGAGGAGGAGAAAGATGGGAAGTGGTGGAGGCGAGGGAGGTTTCCAAACTGCGAGCGGAGGGCAGGCGCATGGCCGTGTTGGCCAGACCCTGCTGTCAGCAGACAGAAGAGAGAGGAAGAGGAGACGAGAGAAGGTGCGGAGGAATGGGCGAGGAGAGGGAGAAGGAGAGGAACCAGGAGCAGAAGGAGGAGCAGAAGGAGGAGAAGGAACAGGGGGGTGAGGACAACGAGGAGGACGGGAAGCAGGGTGGGAGAACTCAGGACGGCGAGGAGGGAAAAGGGACGCAGGGGAAATGTTCCCTTCTAACGAACACCGCAACGAAGATGACGATTACATCCTCAAGCACTGCATGTCACCACACAGAGGCTGCGCCACAGCGTGATATGGAGGAACGCCTGGCAGCCGTCGAATCGCACGCGTCTGCACGCAACCTAATCGCAAAAGCACTGGCCCTAGGCCAGGGATCAACACCGAGACGAGCAGCATGAAAACAAGTGCGAGGCCAACACGACACGCGACATCATCTCGGTATCAGTCGTTCAAGGACGAGAGGGAAGGAGCGAGGGAGAGGAAAGAGGAGAACGGCCAGCGAGATCGGCGCGCGCACCAGGGTCCCACACGAGCGGCGGCGCAGGGGGGCAAGAGGAAGCGAAGGGAGAGGGAAGGACGCGAGAGGAGGGCGACATCGGCTACAGCTCAGGGCAAAGTACATGGGCTGGCCAAGTGGCTGACATTTGAAAAGTCACTGCGTGGCTCGGCGGCGAGCGAGGGGGGGGAGTGAAAAGGAGAAGGCCTTCTCAGAAAGTTCAGAGACCCCCGGCCTTCTGAACAGTTCTCTGAACCTTCCCCGAAGACAGAACAAAAACTACTCGCAGGGCGCGAGTGCTTCTGAGAAGTCCCGCCGCCTTCTGAGGAGGCCCTCTCCTTCTTATTTCCCCCGCTCCCTCGCCGCCGAGTGGCAGCATCCTGCCACACACGGGCCAACCCATGGCGGCGGGATGGCAGGTCCAACGCGCTGAGGTTGGGGCCGGCCGTGGCCAGCCGCGCGCGGAAGTCCGGCTGTGGAACGCGGCAGGCGGCTCGAGGCCATCAGCTGTTTGCGCGTCGAGCAGGCATGGACCAAGAACGGGGGAGGAGACCAGGAACGGGAGGAGGAGGAGGAGCAGCAGCAGCAGCAGCAGCAGCAGTGGCGCAGAAGGGGGGAGAAGGAGGCTGGAGACTGGAGACCACCTCGAGTCCAAGCGGATTCGCTCGCCACGACGGGCGCGGGGGGCAGTCGGGGAGAGGCCGACCCCCGACTGCAGGGCGCAGACAGCGCGCCGAAAACACCAGGGGACCAGGAGGGGGAAGCCCAGACTGCAGTCAGAAGCCGCCCCCTCCCCGACCTTCCCCCTCAGACCTGGAGAGCCTTGAACACCCTGGAGCCCTCGCCCACGACGTGCCGACGTGGCCGTTGAGGCATTCCAGGAACAGCCGCAGCAGCGTCATCACGATGGAGCTGCCTTGTGCTTGCTCGCCCAGTCCAGGTACTCATGTAAGGACTCCTTTGCGCCCTCTGAGTACTTGAAATCCGCGAAGAAGGCTTCCAGGTAGATGTCCAAGCTGGGCTCAGCCACCTCGCCCACGTCGAAGCCCTTCTCCTCCGCAACGCTGTGGGGCGGCGGTTTCGCGTCCAGCTCCGCATCCACGAACGGGCTGAACGAGTTCTTGACCGCCACGTTTAACTCGTACGCCTCGTCGCCGTCGCTGTCGGGGTCCCCACCTTTCTGCTCCACCCCATCGTCCACCTTGGCGCCGAACATGTCGCTGGGGGTCGCAACCTCCTGCAAGTCCAGCTGCTCATCGTTGTCGGATGCTTTCGCGATCTTCTCCTGACCCTCTTCCTCGAAAGTCTCCTCCACCTCGTCGGCCACCTCGCCGCCGAACGTGTCGCAGAGGGTCGCATCCTCCTGCATGTCCAGCTGCTCGGTGTCGAATGGTTTCACGGTCTTCTCCTGAACTCCATCCTCGAACGCCTCCTTGCTGCTGTGTGACCCAACCTCCGTGGGGTTCATCACACCCGAGTGCTTGTTCAGGTAGTTGGCGCAGTTGCCAGACTGCACCGCCTTCAAGATCTTCTCCTGGTCTACGCCTCGAATTGCTGGATGCGCTGGCCAGCAAAGTCCAGGACCGACCGGATGTGGTTACCGACTCGCGTGCCCACGAAGAAGCAGCCCTCGTCGATGCCAACGCCGGCTGCGACCATGCCCACGGTCTTCGGGTACCCCTCAGCCTGATGCCACCAGTGCCAGCCATCACAGGCACCTCCGTCATCAGTGTCTGAGTCCGCCAGCTGGAACTCAGGAATGAACGGCTTCGCGTGCAGGTTCAGCGGATCACGGGCCTGGCGCCCTCCCAGTCCGACGGCGGCCCACGATCCTGCTTGCTGCTTCTCTTGCATTTCTTGTCCATTTTGCTGGATTTGTCCTTACTATCCTTCTTTTCCTTCTTGGCTTTGGCGCCCTGCTCGACCACCGGTGACCGGCTGGCCCGGCGCTGCCGGCCGCCTGCCGAAGGAGAGCGAGAACGGCTGTGGCGGCGCCTGCGTCGAGGAAGTCGCGACGGGCCCCACCCAGAGGCCTGGGGGAGGTGAAGCCGCCGTTGGGGATCGCCAGCAGCGGCGCCGACAACGGCTTCAGGCGCAGGGGCTGCGGGCTCGGCGGTCGGCTTGACGGACGCGCCTTGGGAGGAGCAAGGGCGCGATACAAGGCCCGCGATGTAGCCTCCACCGCCGCCTCGACTGCCGCTCCGACAAGAGCCTGCTCCCACACCGCCTGACTTCGCCACGGGGCCCGCGAGGCCGCCTCGCTGTCGCGCCATGACATAAGAGAAATACGATAGGCTCGGAACAGCTGCGCCCCTTCGCGTGCGCTGCCCTCAACTGCCCCTCGGGCAGGAAAGGGGCTAGGGGAGGAGGAGGAGGAGGAGGAGGAGGAGGAGGAGGAGGAGGAGGAGGAGGAGGAGGAGGAGGAGGAGGAGGAGGAGGAGGAGGAGATGGAGGAGATGGAGGAAGAGGAGGAGGACGACGACGACGACGACGACCACGGCGAGGCTGGTGAGGGGGGGGACCTCTTTGCAAGCTCGCAGGCGGCCCAGGAGCCGGGACGGGACGGCATGGACCAGGACGGGGGCTGTACTCCAGCGGTCATCGCCGCAGTCGTGTTGTTTCCCGAGCTGCTCCAAGTCCAGCATCTCAACTGGCAGTTGGGCGCCATGCACGAGTCGGCAACGGCCAATCCGGAGCGGGTAGAGGAGGAATGACAGAGCAGTGATGGGGTGATTGCCGTGCATAATTCCACGGCCTCTCACGTACGCACAACATGGGGACGCAAACCATTGGTGTTTGCCGCAAGGAGCGTTCACACTTTCACATCGACTCGCAGTTTTGACAAAGACTCGCAGAATTCATCTCCTCCCTAGCAGAGTGGTCGAATTATTTTTGAATAGTCCTGCTGTAGAGGGACATGCCCGACTCAAAACTAGGGACCTGCTGCGCGTCGCCGGAGGCGACGGCCTCCTGGGCTGGCGGCCCTGTGGTGGCGGCCAGCAGGCGCCTGGCCAGCGCCTCAGCCTCTTCCTTTCCGCGGCGACGACGGTCCGGCCGCGGCGACGAGGGGCGACGAGCCAAGGGTCACCACTACTGTCGCCACGCGGCACAGCCGTGACGGAAGAGGTGGCCTCGGCGGCCACTCGGGCAGCACGGGCCGACTCGATGTGGCCGTCGGGCAGAACGAGCTGAGGGCATACGCACTCAGAACACGCTCGACGGGGCGGATGAAGGGGAGGAGGAGGAGGAGGAGGAGGAGGAGGAGGAGGAGGAGGAGGAGGAGGAGGAGGAGGAGGAGGAAGAGGAGGAGGCGGAGGAGGAGGAGGAGGGAGGAGGAGGAGGGAGGAGGACGAAAAGGAGGAGGATGAGGAGGAGGAGGAGGACGAGGAGCGACACTGGCCAGCAGGGAGGGCGGGCGAGCCAAGAGCCGAAGCAGCGGAGCAAGGGGAAGGCCGATCCAAAATACGACAGTCGAACATCATACACTGGTCATGACACGCATGATAACAAATGGCATCACAAACATGCAATGCACACGTGGAAGAAAGCAAGCAGGAGGCAAGACAACCTAGACGGCTGGGCCCACGGCTGCGCATGCATCCACGGCCTCGGCTCCGGCGGACATCTGAAAGCTCAGGCCGCTCGTCGCGGCGCGAATGCCCGCAATGAGTCCCTGGAACTCATCCAAAAAATGGGCGCAGAAGGCTCCCCATCATCTGGCTCGGGCTCACTCAGCAAATTGCAAAGCTCGGGAACCCGGGCCAGAGGAGCGTCCGTCGTTGTATGCTTCTTCTTGTTGTCAGTGTTCCTCTTCTGGTCAGCCTCCGTACCCCCAGTGGCCAGCGCCAAGGCCACAAGCTGCTGTGCCTCAACAGCTGACGGATCAGGGGCCTAAGCCAGCTGGGCCGTCTCGGCAACCGAGGGCGGCACCGTCTCTTCATCCGCTGACTGCTGACGAAAGAGGAAGGGGGGAGGAGGATGAGGAGGAGGAGGAGGAGGAGGAGGAGGAGGAGGAGGAGGAGGGAGGAGGGGGAGGAGGAGGGGGGGGGAGGAGGAGGAGGAGGAGTGGAGGAGGAGGAGGAGAGGAGGATAGGAGGAGGAGGAGGAGAGGAGGAGGAGGGAGGAGGAGGAGGAGGGAGGAGGAGGAGGAGGAGAGGAGGAGGAGGAGGAGGGGGAGGAGGAGGGGGAGGACGAGGAGGAGGAGGAGGAGGAGAAGGAGGAGGAGGAAGAGGAGGTGGATCAGGTAGATCAGAAAATGCGTCGACGACGCCTCGCATCCCGCGAAGGGGGTGGTCCTCCCCCGAGCGTGCACAGCAGGACGCGCACAAAGGCGCCCCCTGGGAACTGCCGCCACCCCCCCGAACGCAGCAGGAGCCCGTTCCCAGGGTCGACTCTGGGGGGAGGCCGACCCCCCAAATCCCCAAAACCAACTCAGGATATCCCGTCCTTCGTGCCGGAGATGCCCCCGTCCTTCGACCACACAACGCTCGGGATCCACCCGGCGACGACGCCGTCGCCGTACAGACGGTGCAATGCTCGCGAGAGCGCTCAAGGCCTTGCTGAGCATCTGCTTAAATTCTGCCTGGCCATCTCCGCCATGACGCCCTTGTCAAAGAGCACCGCTTCACGGCATAGTCGCCTTCAACTGGCGGGTCGCGATCATCAAGACGCCTTTGATGAAGAGCCTCGCTTCCCAGCCTTGGTCGCCTTAACCGTGGCGATTGCGCCGAAGACCCCACGCCCCAGCCTTGCTCGCCATGAACTCCACCGCCATCCTGGCTCGCCCGCGCTGCGCCCCTGTCAGGTGCGGACGGCCCACCCTCTCGAGCGGAGAGGGGCTAAGAGGAGGAAGAGGAAGAGGAGAGGGAGGAATCGGGAGTGGAAGGGAAGTCCTGGCTCTGTCGTTGCCGTCGTCGCAAATCTTGTTGCACATCGGATCCTCCGCGCCGCTCTCTGGGGGAAATAGCCCTTCTCGCACAAACCCAAGCAGGAAGGGGCAGGGGCAGGAGGAGGAGTCTGGACTCGGCGTGGAGGGAACTCCTCCCTCTCCCCCTCCTCCTCCTCCTCCTCCTCCTCCTCCTCTTCCTCCTCCTTCTCATCCTCCTCCTCCGCCTCCGCCTCCGCCTCCTCCTCCTCTCCCTCTCCTTCTCCTCGCGCTTCCCCCCGCCTCCGCATCCTCGCCCTTCCCTCCTTCAACTCCTCCTCCTCCTCCTCCTCCTCCTCCTCCTCCTCCTCCTCCTCCTCCTCCTCCTCCTCCTCGTCCTCCTCCTTCTCATCCTCCTCCTCCGCCTCCGCCTCCGCCTCCTCCTCCTCTCCCTCTCCTTCTCCTCGCGCTTCCCCCCGCCTCCGCATCCTCGCCCTTCCCTCCTTCAACTCCTCCTCCTCATCTTCCTCCTCCTCCTCCTCCTCCTCCTCCCTCCTCCTCCTCCTCCTCCTCATCACATCATCATCATCATCATCATCATCATCATCATCATCATCACAGCAGCAGCATCATCATCACCATCATCAGCAGCAGCACCATCATCATCAACCACACCACCACCACAACCACCATCATCTCATCATCATCGCAAGCAGCAGCATCATCATCAGCATCATCATCATCATCATCAGCACAGCGCAGCAGCATCATCATCAGCATCATCATAATCAGCATCATCATCATCATCATCATCATCATCATCATCATCATCAGCATCATCATCATCATCATCATCATCATCATCATCAGCATCATCATCATCATCATCATCATCATCATCATCTTCCTTCTCCTCGTTCCTCTCCTCCTGCCCAGCCTCCTCCTCTGCTACTTCTTCCTCCTCCTCCTCCGTCTCCTCCTCCTCCTCTTCGTATTCCTCCTCGTCCTCCTCCTCATCCTCCTCCTCATCATCATCATAATCATCATCGGCAGCAGCATCATCATCATCATCAGCATCATCATCAGCATAATCATCATCATCAGCATCATCAGAATCAGAATCATCATAACCATCATCATCAGCGTCGTCATAATCATCGTCACCAGCATCGTCATCATCATCCTCATCATCGTCATCATCATCATTATCAGCATCATCATCACAGCATCATGAGCATCATCATGAACATCATCATCATCAGCATCATCATCCTCAGCATCAGCATCACCAGCATCATCATCAGCATCATCATCATCATCGTCAGCATCATCCGCTTCAGCATCAGCATCAGCATCAGCATCATCATCATCAGCATCATCATCAGCAGCAGCATCATCAGCATCGTCATCATCATCAGCATCAGCATCAGACTCAGCATCATCATAATCAGTATCATCAGCCTCAGCGTCAGCATCAGCATCATCGCCATCATCATCAGCAGCATCACCATCATCGTCATCGCCATCAGCATCACCATCATCATCATCATCATCATCATCAGCAGCAGCAGCAGCATCAGCATCACCATCATCATCCTCATCAGCAGCAGCAGCAACATCATCATCAGCAGCAGCATCGCCATCAGCATCATCATCAGCAACAACAGCATCTCATCGTCAGCAGCATCGTCATCAGCATCATCGTTATCAACATCACCATCATCAACATCATCACCATTACCAACAACAACAGCATCAGCATCATCATCGACATCATCATCATCAGCAGCAGCATCATCAGCATCCACATCATCAACAGCATCATCAGCATCAGCAGCAGCATCGACATCAGCAGCATCAGTAGCATCATCAGCATCAAGATCATCAGTATCATCAGCATGGTCATCATCAGCATCTTCGTTATCATCCGCCCCCTGCGCACGGTCATCATCAGCAGCATCACCGTCATCATGAGCAGCATAATCATCAGCATCATCAGCATCGTCATGTTCAGCATCAGCATCCTCATCATCAGCATGATCATCAGCATCATCAGCAGCATCATCAACAGCAGAATCAGCGCCAGCATCCTCTCCCTCAACATGTTCATCACCCACCCCCTCCGCATCCTCCTCCTCCTCGTCCCCATCCTCCTCCTCATCATCCTCATACTCGTCACCCTCCTCCTCTTCCGCATCTTCCTCCGCATCGTCTTCCCCCTCCTCCTCCTCCTTCTCATCCTCCTCATCCTCCTGATCCTCCTCCTCCTCATCCTCCGCATCCTCCTCCTCCTCCTCATCATCATCCTCCTCCGCATCATCCCCCTCTTCCTCCTCCTTATCCTCCTCCTCCTCCTCCTCCTCCTCCTCGTCATCCTTCTCCTCTTCATCCTCCTCATCCTCATCCTCACCCTTCTCAGCCTCATCCTCCTCCGGTTCCTCATCATCCTCCTTCGCAGCCTCCTCCTCATCGCCCTCGTCGTCCTCATAGTCCTCCTCCTCCTCATCCTGTTCGCCCTTCCTCCTCATCGTCCTCCTCTCATCCCGCGTATTATTATTATGCTTCGTAATCTTCGGCTTCATCCTCCCCCTCCTGCTGCCCCTCCTTCTCCTCCTCCTACTGTGGCCCCTCCGTCACCCTCCTCATCTTCGTTCTCATCCTCCTCATCCTCCTCCGCTGCTGTTTCCTCTTCCTCCTCCTCCTCATCTTCCTCCTCCTCCTCCGCCTCCGCCTCCGCATCTTCCTCCTCCTCAGCCGCATTCTCTTCCGCATCCTCCTCCTCCTCATCCTCCGCCTCCTCATCATCATCCTCTTCCACCTCCGCGCCCCCCTCCTCATCCTCATCCGCATCCTCCCTTCCGCCTCCTCCCCATCCGCCTCCTCATCGTCGTCTTCGGTATCAGCATCCTCCTCCTTCTCGTCCTCATCCTCCTCCGCACCATCATCATCATCATCATCATCATCATCATCATCATCATCATCATCTGCATCATCAGCATCATCATCATCATCATCATCAACATCATCAGCATCAGCATCAGCATCAGCACCAGCATCATCATCATCATCATCATCATCATCATCATCATCATCATCATCATCATCAACATCGTCATCGTCATCGTCATCATCATCAGCATCATCATCATCATCATAATCAGCATCATCAGCAGAATCCGTTTCATCCTTCTTATCCGTCTCATCATGCTGAGTCTCCGCATCCGCTTCCTCATCCTCCGCCTCCTCCCCCCCCCGCCTCTTCATCGGAGTCCTCCTCCTCCCCCGCCTCCTCCTACACTTCCTCCTCCTCCTCCTCCTCCTCATCGCCCCCCCTCCTCCTCCTCCTCCTCCTCCTCCTCATCCTCCTCCTCCTCCTCCTCCTCCTCCTCCTCCTCCTCCTCCTCCTCCTCCTCATATTCCTCTTCCTCCTCCTCATCCTCCTCCTGATCCTCCTCGCCTCCTCCTCCTCCTCCTCCTCCGCCGCACCCTCCTCCTCCACCTCCTCCTCGTCCTCCTGATCCTCATCCTCCTCCTACGCCGCAGCCTCCTCCCCAATCCTCTTTCTCGTCCTCCTCCTCCGCCTCCTCCCCATCATCATACTCTCCATCCAGCACATCCTCCTCCGTAGCATCATGAGTATCACCACCATCCCCATCCTCATACTCAACACCGAATCCTCCTCATATTCCTCCTCCTCCTCCTCCTCATCATCATCTCCTTCCTCCTCCTCCTCCTCCTCCTCCTCCTCCCTCCTCCTTCCTCCTCTCCTCCTCCTCTCTCCTCCGCCTCTCCTCCTCTCCTCCTTCTCCTCCTCCTCCTCCTCTCCGCCTCCTCTCCTCCTCCTCTCCCTCCTCCTCCTCCTCCTCCTCCTCTCCTCCTCTCCTCCTCTCCTCCTCCTCTCCTCCCGCCTTCCTCCTCTATCATCATCATCCTCGTCCCCCCCTCTCTCCTCCTCATGCCTCCTCCTCCTCCGCCTCTCTCCTCCTCTCACTCTCCTCCCTTTCCTCCTCTCCCTCCTCCTCCTCCTCCTCCTCCTCCTCATCTTCATCATCATCAGCATCATCATCTTCTTCATATCATCATTAATCCTTCATCTATTCATCATCATCCATTCATCATCATCATCATCATCATCATATCTTACATAATCATCATCCATCATCATCATCATCATCATTCATATCAGCATATCCTCCGCCGCATCCTTCTCGCCTCCTCCTCCTCCCTCCTCCTCCTCCTCTGTTGCCCATCCTCATCCATCCAGCAGCATCAGCAGCATCCTCATCATCATCATTCATCTCATCATCATCTTCATCATCCTCATCATCGCATAATCATCATCATCATCATCATCATCATCATCAGCATCATCATCATCATCATCATCAGTATCATCATCATCATCAGCAGCATCATCATCATCATCATCATCATCAGCATCAACATCAGCATCATCATCATCATCAGCATCATCATCATCATCATCAGAATCAGCATCATCATCATCAACAGCATCGTCATCATCATCATCGTCATCATCAGCATCATCATCATCAGCATCATCAGCATCAGCAGCAGCATCATCATCAGCAGCATCATCATCATCAACATCATCATCATCGTCATCATCAGCAGCATCAGCATCAGCATCAGCATCATCATCAGCATCATCATCATCATCGGCCTCCTTCTCTTCGCGTTCCTCCTCCGCGTCCTCCCTTTCATCCTCCTCCGCCTCCTCCTCCTCCTCCGCCCCCTCCTCCTCCTCCTCATCCTCCTCTTCCTCCTCCTCCTCCTCCTCCTCCTCCTCCTCATCCTATTCATCCCCCTCCTTCTCCTCCTCCTCATCCTCTTCCTCCTCCTCCTCCGCCTCCCCTTCCTCGTTCTCCTCCTCCGCATCTTCCTCATCATCACCATCATCAGCAGCAGCAGCAACAGCAGCATCATCATCATCAGCATCAGCATCAGCAGCAGCAGCATAATAATCATCAGCCTCAGCCGCAGCCTCATCAGCAGCAGCGTCATCGTCATCATCAGCATCATCATCATCATCATCATCATCATCATCATCATCATCATCAGCAT